TGATCGTTATTGTTCAAAAATGCATAGCATTAGTCGATAATATATACTCATATACGTATACTTAAGCTACATTTTATCTGTAAGAAAAGTTTATATTTTCAAATTTTCCTAATATGCTTAATATTTATATGTATTCACGAAATAACTTATTCAGTCTTGTTTTATCCCTAGTGTGATGATGCGCGAAGGGCCCCCTATGCTTCGGCACCACTTGACCGAAGGGTCGACATCGCGTTGGCGATGATTAGTTCGTCAGAACTGACACCTCTGTGTCTTTTGGACAGACACAGAAACCGTTATGTTCGCTCTTACGCCATAGCGGTCGCGTTTGTAGGTGCTTGGGCCTGGGATGGAGAGGGCCTGAGAGACAACCGGAAGGAGTGATTGCACTCCACTACGAATTTAACAATTAACAATATCCCGTTTATTTCTGTACAAAGTTGTTTAAGACGCTTAGCTTGCTGTTAATTTTATAACACAATATGGGGAAAAGGTAAAATCGAGATTGATTCTTGTTGGGAATCAAAAAATCGGCAGATCAATGTCCTGTTGGTCTGCAAAATTGTTAGGGAGAAGCTTCACGAATCGGAAAAGTGCGAAAGTTTCTGGATGTCTTAAGATATGCAGAGGATTTGCAATGGCTATTTAAGCGGTATCCAAAAGAAATCGGGCGCAAACACTAGTCCAAAGATAGCGAACTCACGATAACGACGACCTCTGTGTCATCGTCGGACCTTGCCTTTTATCTCGGAGTCCTCCTCGTTTTCCCCTTGCCCTTCTTTGGCAATGTTGCAATGTTGCAACGCCTAAATCCAATAACAAATTCTCGTCGCCAAGTTCCTGGTGACACATTCGATGTATCATGTTGAAAGGGAGGTGACTCCACAGAGAGTAAAATTAAATATATCCTTTACAATTTTAACAATCGTGGGAAAAATAATAGCAAGTTTTAATATCAAAAATTAAATTATCACCCTCAATTTTTTAAGTCTGGGGTCTCACACTAGCATATAATATTAAAAGTTTTATAAATGAAGTATACGACATAATATTCACAAAAATCTTATTAAACATTCCTTCCTCAAAAGTAAAATCATATCACGAAGGAATGCGCGTAGCCACGTGCAAATTGCAGAAGTTGCAGAGGTGACAAAGATATGCAAATGATTAACTTTGGGTACGCGTCGGTTCATGTGATACCCAGTTTATGGCTATAAAGATTAGCGGTTGGCTCCGGCCATAAATGCGATCAGAGACGGTTCGTTGAAACGGAAGTTGAAAGCGTTGAAAATTCCTCGAAAACAACGGTGAGCCAAATACCAACAATTAACGGCTGGGTACGAGAGCGTATTCTGGAGCTGCTCGACCTATTTGTCAATGCGCAAAGTTGCCATGCGTATTGCCATGCAGGGATGTGTCACACGTTGGATGAAGGATCATCTGCAAACACGCTTATAGGGTGATGGATCGATTGTCGCACGATAGAGCCCACAGACTGTCAGATTCGCCGAACGACCTGTCTAAACACTCCTGCCATGGCACGTGACATCCGAAGCTACCTCTCACCGTCAATGGGTGCAGTTGTGTTCACCCAAACCATTCGCAACGGGTTGCATAAAGCGGGCTGCAGGCACGGAAACCAACAACGAACGTGTCATCGCTCAACATAGGGCTGCAGGTTTGGCGTCATCCAAACTAGACTACTAAATGGTATCGAGTATTGTAAACGGATGAATCCCACTTCTCTCTCTGGAGAGATATACCGGTTCTCTGTCAGAGTACCAGAAATGTGCACCAGGCATTTTTTAACTCTTTCCGCTTTGTAGGCACTAAGAGGGCTTCATTTAGCAAGCCCATTATGGTTCGGCTAGGCTCACAATGGGCCGGCCGGATGGTGAGGGACGGAGACCGACATATCCGGTTCGACTCCCCCCCCGAAAAATTCCAGGGGAATTTTCGATTCGTCCAGATCGATCCCGAGTCCCCCAGAGCGGCAAGCTGCCACCTTGACCGCTCGGCCATCCGGCCGATCCAATGTGCACCAAATCATGATGCTCGGTATAGGTTATGTGATGCTCAGCAAATAGCATGGAACGTAGTGTTTCGCTGATAATTTTTTTTAATTAATGGATTCAGAATTTAAGGTTTTGTTGGACTCAGCAAATTACCTTCTGTTTTGTAAACCTCATTTGTTTTTATATATTCAAGAAATGCGGGAATTTCACATTTTAAATTATCTTCATTGTAGATTAATATTTTAATGTTATTACATCTTAAATCTTTTCTTTTTCAGATCTACGATAATTTCATAAGTATTGAAAAAATTTTTTCTGCAAAGCTCCCGTTGACATTTAAGTTTAAGGTAGGTAAATTACTTTATTACACGTCATAACTAAAAAATGTCACATAGTTTTACATTTTCCTTCCTTTCAATGTTAAATATTTAAATTTCTCACAGATTTTAATTTTGGCTTTCAGTCAGGATCAATTTTTTTTCATTGACTTAATGTACAATTTTACGTCTATTTTACACTTAAACCTTATTTATTCCTAAAAAGCAGTCGACATAAACTTCACATTAGATTGTATACATTCCAGACGAAAGAAACAGATGGTTAAAAAATTTTGTGACATATAATTAACATTTGCAAATTAAATTTCATTTTCAAATTATGTTAACTAATTTAATTAATTCTCTTTCTAAAAGATAAACGATTTCATGAAGAGATTTGGAAAGATTCCTCTCGGAATATCCATTGGCGGATTCTTCTATATAAAACGTGATTTCTTGATAAGGGTATGTTCTGATTTATGCTTTAAATGTATATAAATATACTTCTTTAATTAATATATAAAACATCGCTGTTTACAGGTGATAAGTGCTGTCTATTCGATATTCTCTTCCTGTATTCAAGTGAGTGGAATTTTGAAAAAGGAAACAAAATGTACACTCAAATACGGAAATAATACGCATCGAGTTTAAGTGTTTTTTATACATAATTTATCAAATAATATAGAATGTAATTTCATAGCATTTACAACGTTAAACCTTTACTTAATAAGTGTTCATATTATGCACGAAATAACGTTATGTTAGTGCAACGGTTGTAGAATATGATTATGTTCAATCTGTAGAACATTCCTAATTAATCTGTCATTGTGACTTCAGAAACACATATTGTTTAGTGATTCAGAATTGTATCTTTTAGAAAATAATATTAAAACAACGTGCGGAAAATATTGTATTCTTGTAATTGTTTTGCACCAAGTTATTCTTATTAATTAGTAAATTTATTGTGGTTTTTCTTGCAAAATTTTATTAAAAAATAATTTTTATATTATAAAACTCATAAAAGCCGGGAAAGTTACGCAACTCTCGTTGCTGGATTTTTTAATGCTAATTGTTTTGTGTATGGCATGGCTTAGAATAACCGAAATATCATTCTACACTTTTTTTTTTCTTTTTGCTCGTTTCGCCCCGTGGGCATTAGGAGGGCCTTTTTTACCATCGTGATTTGACCAGAGAGAGGATGAGAAACGGGGCAAATATATCCGTAAGACATCGCCCAAAAACATTCGTAGGGTTTGTCTCCCATCCACATTGAATCCCGGATCCTAAGATGGGGTATCCGAAATCGAATCCTCTTCCATCTAGCCGTATACACTTCTGTTCGAAACTGACGTTCCTATCGTGTATATACAGAAAATATTTAATTAAACAGTTGTTTTACAATATATTCGTTCAATAATGCTAATAATTTGTATGTACCATCAGATGTACCAGGATATTTTGATTTTAGAATATTCTAAGTTCTGACTGCAGATACTTTTTCTCTTAACTTTAAAAAAAAAATATATATATATATAAATGTGTCATTCCGAATTTTTAAATCAAAACATTTAACTATTTAATTAGCCTTTGGGTAAATTTTTCTCAGAATAACCAATAAATTTATAATTTATTAAGAGGACTTTTCAATAGGCATTTTGAATTTGTATTGATCGAAAGTCCAGTAGAAACGAAGGAATCTACTTCTAGTGTAGAGTCCATTAATCCATTCAATTTATTCTTTAACTTGTTAATCACAAGTAAAAGATTTTCACGAAATTGAAAAAATAATTTTTTTTAGCACTTCCAAATGTATTATAACAAAATAATTATCTGTGAAATTTCTAACCTTATTAGCATGAACATCATTGTAGGATCTGACTGACTTGTGTCATTAGCTTATATCAGTAGCAGCACGAAACCGGATCTTCCCATTAGTATCAAATTTTTTCTGGAGAATTAATACAACTCTTTAATACATTAGACGAGTTAATAAGGAAGCTCCGAATGCCCTGACTAAGACAAAAAGCCAGACCATTAACTACATGGTTTCCAACATGCTTGATGAGAACTATATAGCAATAACAAGAATTATGTATATAAACAATTTTAATGTCATTTACACTGCAACTTTGCTATATTTAAAAATTACTTAACCATATATGAGTAATGTTGGCAATAGTGAAACGTTTGATTATTAAAAAACTTAATCTATTAATAACTGATAAGTATTTTTCATTGCAGAAAACCAAAACTCTCTCTTTTTTGATTTAGAATACTTTCAAAGACTCACCACTGGCAAAGTGGATAAAATCATTGAATGGTTACAGGTTTGTGTCGTGTGAGATGCTATGGCTTTATGAAGTTTTCTGGGTTACCTTCACAGGTCTAACACTTAAATAAGGCCAGTTTCCAGAGAAAGTCATCCTTGGAAGATCACTGGTGTGTTGTGTTGCCATATCTCATCAAACCAAATCTAGAATTCTTTCTTAATATCAGACTAAGAATTATTTTTCTAAACTGATGAAATTATATATATATATGCAATGCCATTTTTTGATTGCTTTTTCATATTATATGCATACCAACATAGCAGCAAACTAAAATTAAGGAGAGCAAAAAGATATTTAGATTCCTTAATGTTTTAAAATAATGTTTACAATAGTTTAAATTATCTTTTTAAGAATTTTATTTATCATACAAAAATTGCATGCTACATTAATATAAATGATATTTAAGTCAAGGAGGACAGAGGAGGAAAAGCATTCTGCTTGCTGACCACAAGTTTCTTGTGCTGGTACGAAATGTATCCTTTTATCTTTCCCTAATGAAAATTATATAAGTTAGTAAGTGTAATAACTTTAAAAATCATCTAATAATTATAATAATTTACTATTAAATTCATTAATATTCATCTTATTACAATATCGTTATATAGAAAAATGCATTCAATATTACAATGATAAATTGTATTAAATAATTCTTTATTCTTTAAACCAGTGAAGTCCAGACAGACCTCCATAAAACAAAAACCCATATTAACAATAAATTTTCAAGTGTTAGATGATAAATAAAGTAAAAATTGCAAAAAAATTGAAATATACAAACCAAAATAATGAATTTTAATTATACTACACCAGTGTTTTTCAACCGGGGTGTTGCAAAGTTTAGGGCCTTTAGTCATTTTCTTGGAAATTTACTTAAGTGTAGTTCAAGATAACTCATTGTCAGTTCTATTTTGCTACGAAATATCTAGTAAGCAAAGAAACGATGACTAATCGCATGTTAATATAATGTTCAACGCTACGTGTACGCACGACTTGTCACGAGTTTGCCCAAACCACATTACTTGGCCTTCACATTCCCAGTCCCATTACCAGGCCAACCAACAGAGAAGAACGACATGGACACTTGTGTCTTGTATATACTTTAAAAAGCGTTGCATTGCACTTTGAAAAGCGTACACAATGTAGATGCATATTACAGTACTTTCATAATATTCAAAAGCAATGATGACAAATAAACAATTTATTATCATTTTTTTAATTTAAATTTTTTAAATTGATATGAAAAAGATAAGAAAAAAGTAATGAAATATTTATTTTATATATGCATCAAAATAGTATAAAAAAACGTAACAAAAATTTGTGAATGGTTGTCTCTAATCCGACTTATTCTTTCGGTAGACTATCTTACAGCATCAGGTTAATGTCGGATTAAAAGAATACGTCGAAAGAATAAGTTGATTAAAGAGACAACCATTCACAAACGAATATACAGCTATAACCAGTAAATTTAACAAAAATTGTTTATCAATAAAATAATAATATAAAATGATGATATATTTTATAATAAAACTAAATTTAAAAAACAATAGAGAGACTATTATTTTACATGTAGGTATTTCAACAAAATTCTATGGACTTAAATTTTGATTTTGAACACATAGAAATGCTGTTTTTTTGCATTAAAATGCTACTTCAAATTGTCTATTTTTAAAAGTTTTCTTCCCGGGGAGGAAACTCCCTCCCCAGACCCCACCCCAGCGTTGCGTGTAATATTCGTTTTCGCAAAAAATTTATCTGGCCCATTAGCCCCCTTATTCAGATCCGCCGCTGGTCAAGGGTGTCACGATTTTTTATTTTTCAATCAGGGGTGCCACTCAATGAAAAAGGTNGACCCCACCCCAGCGTTGCGTGTAATATTCGTTTTCGCAAAAAATTTATCTGGCCCATTAGCCCCCTTATTCAGATCCGCCGCTGGTCAAGGGTGTCACGATTTTTTATTTTTCAATCAGGGGTGCCACTCAATGAAAAAGGTTGAAAAACACTGTACTACACATTAGACTAAGGGTGTACAACATACAGTATGTCAAAGTAAATGTTTCAATGCAACCAACCGCTTGCTTTTTAGTAGAAATATTTTATGCTAATAGTCCTACTCAACAATTTGTAAAACATGTAAGCATTATTTTACTTTAAATAATTCTGTATTTCTCACAAATGTAAAAGAAATGCAAAAATAAAGTAAAAGTATCCTGTATTTTGTCCCTTTTCACACATTCAGAATGAAATAATGCAGTGTGAAAAGAGGCACTTGTCTGCCTCAACAAGCAAATTTTTCTTATAAATAAGACAAAATTAAAACGTATAAAAAATTTTAGTTTAACACATAAAATACATTAAATATTGGTTGTTAATAATTACTTATAATATTGTGAAATAAATGTTAAATAACTTAGTTTTCTTAATTTGCATATATTCTCGTTTCATGCATCTTACAAGAATATAAACCACAGGAAAATTACAATTACATTATACGTGAATTTACCAATATAAATTCTATTACTGTACAAATATAAACTTACTTCAAAAATCAAATTAGCTAATATACAGTGTACTTCATCTAGATCAATATCTTCAACCTTTGTTAAAAATAAAGAAGAAATTTAAATTAATTTTATTTAATAAATATTATCATCTTTTAATCAAAATAAAAGAGATCATTTAGTTAACTATAAACATTTCTTTACATACTTTCATAAATTTTAATGCAACCAAAAATGCTTCAATGGGGATTTGATGAGTTTTCATTAACAAATATCTGAAAGAATTATATATATATTTATAAAATATATCAAATAATAACAGTTTTAAATAAAAATTTGCTTGTTTAATACTCACACTTTTTTGAAAAGATTTCGATAAGTGATAATTTTCAACTTCTCCAATATTAAATATATTCCACATTTAATGAAAAATGATTCATGCAATAAGAGTGTTTCATTCAACTTTAATAAATTACCTTCTCTATAAAAATTAAAATATGTAACTTCTTCAAAAAAAAAATTCATATCAAAAGTAAAATTACTTGTTAAACATTAACTTAAGTGATCAATTTTTTATTTGATGAAATGCAAACTTTAAAACTTGCTAAATTAAGAAAAACAATTATCTACAGTCTAAACGACAGTNTGTCACTTTGCTTATTAGTTACAGTTACAGTGCTCTGAATAGGGAAACTTTAATTATGGCCACCCTATATATATAAAACAATCTTGTGTTCCTGTTATCATGAAATTAAAAAATATTGCGAATAAAAACGATAAAAATAAATATTAACACTTCAAATATCCATAGTTTTAACAGCTAAAACTTTATATAATAACCTACCAGCAACATTTTGACAGGTATTAAATAAATAAGAGTAAGTCTCTTATTTCTTGGTGATTGATTACTGCAATTTTTAAATGCATATGAAAGATAATCTTCAGCTGTAAGGAAATAATTTTTTCACTTTGTAATATTTTTAAAAAACGTATTTTAATTTAATTTCTCTTTATACTACTGTAAATATATTATAAATAAAAATGCATTATATTTGTTTCAATTACACACTTTTATAGAATAAATATTTATAATAAAATTTATTTGCCAATGTTACTTTTGAATAAACACTGAAGGTTAAAAGTTTGAAAATTAAACATTAAAAATTCTTCAAATAGAATCTTTTCACATAAAGATTCCTACATTACAAGACTTTACATTAGGAAAAGAATTTACATGCTACTTTTATATCTATTAATTATGCATTTCAAGTATGTAATTTCATTCTCATCATCAGTTAAAAGCAGCTACAGTTAATCTAATTTTCATTTAATAATTTCTTCTTGAAATTTATTATATCAGTACTTATCCTTATAAGACATTAAGACTTCCTTATCCTTCATTTTAATTATCTTGAGTGTTGTCTATTTTACACCATATTAAAATTTCTCCAAGTAAGTAAATAATATCTAGTATAAACGTGAAAGCTAAATAAAAATCTTTTCTTAACACAGTCTTGTTCTACAGCAACTTCATTGTGAAAAAAATTCTATCCAAAGAATTTTTGATAAAATATATTCACTTTTATGAACTTCAATAATTACTTACAAAGTTATTTATTAACTGTAATAACAACTTACACAACAGCTTTAACAACATCACTGAACTGCATCAGATCATGTTTTTGAAGCAATTCAATTTTTGGCATCTGGCCCTGAATCAGATTGTAATGTAAAAATTAATATATATTTATCAAGTTATAAAGTTTACATATACATATACATATATTTCTCTGATCTATATAAAATGTAAAATTTATAATATAGAAGAATATTCAAACTATTAAAGCCAGATTATATTCAAGCTATAATAAAGTTAAATAATAAATGATTAAACATATTGTAATTTGGCATGAAGACAAGCAGTTTGGCCACTGTCCTGTGCCAAGTTTAATAATAATTATTAATTTATTAAATTATTTGACTAATCTTTAACCAAATAACTAATTATTATTCTTATTTTTTTTATCATGGTAGCACTAAGACGATCTTTTTATCCAGGCTTATAAAGGGCAGCCAAATGGCGAGGACAAGGCTCAACATATTTGGGATAGACAACCTATGAAAAATTCCCAACATTTCTGACCCAGATTTGCACTTGAGTCTCCCAGTGCAGCAGCAGCAGCAGCCTTTACCATTTCAGCCATTTAACTATCGAGCCAATTTCAGCTAATAATAGCTAAATATTGTAATTTTACCTACATTTGAGCCAAATTATATTATTTTATTTATTAACCTTATTGTAGCTTAAATGTATAGTCTACAATCTGTTTCAGTTGTTTGAGTAATTTCAAATTAATATTTGTTGTTTAAATTTATCTAAAGAAATGTATTTATGCAAGTTTTTCTTTTCATTACATCTCTCTAATAGCTACTAAAAGAAAACTTACAATGACATGTCTAGCTGCATTAATTTTTTAAAAAATACAGATTTATCATGTCTTAATTAAAAAACAATAATGCTTGTGATACAGAACTAAGTGAAACTATTTATTTTGAACAAAATTCTTTGAGACACCATTGATTTTTGTTACTTTCAAATTTTAGAAAGTGATAGATTTGAAAACAATAATTTAATAATAATCATTATTATTATATATTACTAATTACCCAATATTTAATAAAGAATTATCATCTTTATATAAAAATGAATATAAAATAAAATACTGGATGATCATACTTAAAGTTTTCCTATTCAGAGCACACTGTAGCTATAACCAATAAGCAAATTAACACCAAAATTTGTATATGGACTATGCAAAGGATATAGAAAAGGATTTTGCAAAAAGAATTCAGTTAAGAAACTTCCACTAGGATGTGTTTTACAGGAAAATACAAACAACAAAATAAATAGCAAAGACCAATCTTAAAGTGACATTTTGATCTATTACTTTAAACATTACAAATAAAGTTAGTGAAAATAATGGCATTTAGGCAAGCAAAAACAAAGCTACAGAACACATTAGAACAGGGGTCACCAAACTATGACCCTGTGCCACACTGTGCCACAAGTGAGCTAAAATATAATTTATATGGAAATATCATAGATTGTAGATAAACTTACTATGTACAAAAAATTAAAATAAGTGTAAGTAAAAATGCCAAAATTAGTCCACTCTAATTTTTGTATCTGACAGCAATATAATTTTTAGGAAAATCAGTGAAATAAAAAGTTTGGCGACTTTTTGCAACTTTGAATATCAAAGCACTTTTTGTGTAAGTACCTGCAATGAAGTTTCTAAGAAAAGCAATTATGAGCTCGCTGCAGCAATCGTGTTTGTGTATTGGTAAAAAAATATGTTGGTTGTCTTTAGATTTTGTGTATTCAGTGTACTGTATTGAACAAAATGGTTATGTGGCCCACCCTCGTCATTCTCTCAGTTATGTGGCCCGCTGTGAAAAAAAGTTTGGAGACCTCTGCATTAGAATATCAGTTCAGCATCTTCAAATTTTACACCTGAGCAATTAGATAAACATTAAGCAACATTCCTTACATCAGTAAACAGCACTGCAGAAAGTTTTGTTTCATGTATTTTCCCCTGTAAAGTGTCCCAGTAGAAATTTTTGAACTGTTTGTTTTTTACAAAATCCTTTGCAAAAAAATGCTACATCCATGATCCTTTACATAGTCTNCACATTAAGCAACATTCCTTACATCAGTAAACAGCACTGCAGAAAGTTTTGTTTCATGTATTTTCCCCTGTAAAGTGTCCCAGTAGAAATTTTTGAACTGTTTGTTTTTTACAAAATCCTTTGCAAAAAAATGCTACATCCATGATCCTTTACATAGTCTGTATACAAATTTTGATGTCACTTTGCTTATTAGTTACAGTTACAGTTACAGTGCTCTGAATAGGGAAACTTTAATTATGGCCACCCTATATATATAAAACAATCTTGTGTTCCTGTTATCATGAAATTAAAAAATATTGCGAATAAAAACGATAAAAATAAATATTAACACTTCAAATATCCATAGTTTTAACAGCTAAAACTTTATATAATAACCTACCAGCAACATTTTGACAGGTATTAAATAAATAAGAGTAAGTCTCTTATTTCTTGGTGATTGATTACTGCAATTTTTAAATGCATATGAAAGATAATCTTCAGCTGTAAGGAAATAATTTTTTCACTTTGTAATATTTTTAAAAAACGTATTTTAATGCCCTGAATCAGATTGTAATGTAAAAATTAATATATATTTATCAAGTTATAAAGTTTACATATACATATACATATATTTCTCTGATCTATATAAAATNAAATTTTGATGTCACTTTGCTTATTAGTTACAGTTACAGTGCTCTGAATAGGGAAACTTTAATTATGGCCACCCTATATATATAAAACAATCTTGTGTTCCTGTTATCATGAAATTAAAAAATATTGCGAATAAAAACGATAAAAATAAATATTAACACTTCAAATATCCATAGTTTTAACAGCTAAAACTTTATATAATAACCTACCAGCAACATTTTGACAGGTATTAAATAAATAAGAGTAAGTCTCTTATTTCTTGGTGATTGATTACTGCAATTTTTAAATGCATATGAAAGATAATCTTCAGCTGTAAGGAAATAATTTTTTCACTTTGTAATATTTTTAAAAAACGTATTTTAATTTAATTCAAATTATAATTTCAAAATAAATACATACTTAAAACAGAAAAATACTACATGCAAAAATCTATTACTTAAAAAGTTCTGTCATTAGAACTCAATTCTTTTTTTATATGTTTTTTTTAACCTAAGCAGACCTCTGAACAGGGTTAAAAACATTTGTTTTCATTAAAATATTGCTTAAAAAGTGTATAAAGTGTAGTGTTTTTGTATACTTAAAACATTAAAGTAAACCATAATCAGGTAAAGAATGTAGCATAATTCTATAATATAAATCCAATATCTCATATTTAAAACTGTGATTACGTAAAATTTATGTTTCTACAGAATACTTCAAAAAATTTTAACACCAATATCAAAATAACTTGTTATTTTAGATTTGTAGTAGCAGATTGTCCTCTGCATAGTTCTCAATCATACGCATGAAGTCACATCCAATTGTGAAGATCTTAAAAAAGTATAATCTTATTGTCCCTGCGGCAGCAACTGCACAGCTTCTCTATATAAGTGTTAACTCTTTTTTGAAGTACTGTGTATATTCATCTATACATATTTATATGATTGAATTTACATTAAAACCAGTCAATTTTATTACTTCTTGAATTCTCTTTACATTAAAAATTCAGCCACTGTCCTGTGCCAAGTTTAATAATAATTATTAATTTATTAAATTATTTGACTAATCTTTAACCAAATAACTAATTATTATTCTTATTTTTTTTATCATGGTAGCACTAAGACGATCTTTTTATCCAGGCTTATAAAGGGCAGCCAAATGGCGAGGACAAGGCTCAACATATTTGGGATAGACAACCTATGAAAAATTCCCAACATTTCTGACCCAGATTTGCACTTGAGTCTCCCAGTGCAGCAGCAGCAGCAGCCTTTACCATTTCAGCCATTTAACTATCGAGCCAATTTCAGCTAATAATAGCTAAATATTGTAATTTTACCTACATTTGAGCCAAATTATATTATTTTATTTATTAACCTTATTGTAGCTTAAATGTATAGTCTACAATCTGTTTCAGTTGTTTGAGTAATTTCAAATTAATATTTGTTGTTTAAATTTATCTAAAGAAATGTATTTATGCAAGTTTTTCTTTTCATTACATCTCTCTAATAGCTACTAAAAGAAAACTTACAATGACATGTCTAGCTGCATTAATTTTTTAAAAAATACAGATTTATCATGTCTTAATTAAAAAACAATAATGCTTGTGATACAGAACTAAGTGAAACTATTTATTTTGAACAAAATTCTTTGAGACACCATTGATTTTTGTTACTTTCAAATTTTAGAAAGTGATAGATTTGAAAACAATAATTTAATAATAATCATTATTATTATATATTACTAATTACCCAATATTTAATAAAGAATTATCATCTTTATATAAAAATGAATATAAAATAAAATACTGGATGATCATACTTAAAGTTTTCCTATTCAGAGCACACTGTAGCTATAACCAATAAGCAAATTAACACCAAAATTTGTATATGGACTATGCAAAGGATATAGAAAAGGATTTTGCAAAAAGAATTCAGTTAAGAAACTTCCACTAGGATGTGTTTTACAGGAAAATACAAACAACAAAATAAATAGCAAAGACCAATCTTAAAGTGACATTTTGATCTATTACTTTAAACATTACAAATAAAGTTAGTGAAAATAATGGCATTTAGGCAAGCAAAAACAAAGCTACAGAACACATTAGAACAGGGGTCACCAAACTATGACCCTGTGCCACACTGTGCCACAAGTGAGCTAAAATATAATTTATATGGAAATATCATAGATTGTAGATAAACTTACTATGTACAAAAAATTAAAATAAGTGTAAGTAAAAATGCCAAAATTAGTCCACTCTAATTTTTGTATCTGACAGCAATANTTAATTTATTTATTATACATAAAAGTTGTAATAAGTTCAAATTCAAACGAATTTCGAACGAATGATTCCATTACAACGAAAACTATTAAAACCTGAAGATGGCCTATACGAATTGGCCGAAAACGTTTGGAATAAACAAAAATAACTCGGCAAAAAATTTAGGTGTGTGTGATTTATTATTATAAATAGATAGCATTGCTGAGAAGGTAGATAGATTGTAAATTTTTTTCTTCAACCTGTCAAAGAAAGATTCAGGAACAAAAATAAAGTATCTAAGCAATCATCATACTACTTAAAGATTTACACAGAATTTTGTTTCATATCTGTTTACACACAATTGCTACATAAAACAAGATCATGCTATATTTAATTTTGAAACATCATTAAACATTAAATTCATGAATATTTATTGTAATTATTTTTTTAGATTTTTTTTACATCTTTTTTACATTTTTTTTTTGCTATTGTAAAAATGTCTGAAAAAAATCATACATTTGAAGTTACATTGATTAATTAAAAATTAGTATATAAAAAAAAATATTTTTAAATAAGCACTTTATTAGCAAAGATATGAGTCTAAAATGCATGCTTAAATGTTATTAAATGTTAATTAATTATTTTCAATGACATTTTCTACTATTAATTTTATTTAAATTTCTTTTACAATATACTAAAAATGGCTTTATTTTTATAGGATTTTTAACTCTATACCTACTTTAAAATATATTTTGAATAACTGATTTACTAGAGTTAACATTCCCCATCGCTTGGAATCTTCTTGAGATGAACGACTAAAATAAAGTTATAAAATTAAAAAGATAATAATAATAATAAATGAAATTCTGTTTTTGTTTTTGTTTTTCATAAAAAGTTTTTATGAAAGCAAACAGAAATTTATAATAATTTATTATAAATTATTTTATTTATGTAAATTTAATTTCTTTACTACTTCTGTTTTATTTATGAATGCCAGATTAGTGGCTATTTTAATTTAAGTGTTTTAAAATGAGGATGAATATAAATGAAATTAAAGTCATGCAAACTGCAATCAAAAAATGTCCAAATTAAATCTTAAATGATTTAGATATCTGGAAAGATTCCAAACTATATGTTTATGAAAACAATCAAATAAAAATTAATGAATAAAAACAGAGGAAGACAAATAAATGAAGAGAAAGATTTATTTTAGTATATAAAAGATGCTAAAGAATTGATTGATGTTATCAAAAACTTTAAATAAAAATTATTTATAACTTATTATTGTTAAGATTTCTTTGTTTCAACTATTCTAAGTTAACTATTTTAAAAGGAACATTTATATAATAATTATACTTACTTATCACTAGCACATACTCTGAAACAACCCATTAATAATTCAGCAGCTTTTTCAAGTGTTTCACCTGGTTTACCTTTTCCTTTTTTAGCTAATTGTAAATCTGCCTATATAGAATGATTAACCAATAATTTAAATAATACAAAATTTATTTAATTTTTATTATTAATCATACACTTCTAATTATACTCATACATACAACAACATTTAAAATATTTTGCATTTTAACAAACACAAATGTGTGTGTGTTGATAAAACTTTGACATCATGCTTACAATGAATCTGATCTATCATATTTTCTTCAGAATATAGATATAAAAATGTAAAAAAAAAAAATAGCATGCATTTATACTTACACTTGTTGCAATCAATCTAAGATCTAAGCACACTCTATACATAACTGGTAGGGCCCAATTTTCATCTTTCTGGCTTTGTAGAATTTTTATAAATGTTCTGTATTATGAATTAAGCTTGTAAAAATTATTTTTGTTAATTATACTTAAATTCTTCAAAGATATAAGATTCTGTAAGTTTTTAAAACCAAAATAGTTTAAATATTTTTATTTATTATTAATATTTATTGGTAAATCTTACAACCCAGACAAATTATAATGATGTATAAAGCTCTAATAAATAAAGAAATAAAGTTTAACAACAGTTAAGTATTGAAATGTAAATTATATCAACAAAATTCAATTACAGGAAGATTTCATTTCACAAACCAGATAGGTTCTCAGATTACTATTTGTAATCTTTCAAGAATAAAATTTTAATGTTTTTAAATATGATTTGTTCTTTTTTTGTATAAAAACTGACCTCTACAGGTTAACAACTTTGCAATTTTTACAAAGAATTATGGTTATGTTATTTTATAATCATTTTACATGTGCTTCAATAACATGAATGTGATTTTGATACACAGTAAAAATAATTTTTCCATCACTTCACTTCTTGAATATAATGTTCTTAACATATTTGCATTAAAAATTCCTGTGTGTTAACTCTATCTCATCTGCATTGGTTGCTATTGTTGAAACTGTAAACCTTAATACATTTCAAAATAGCATTCACCTGATTCAGTACAAAAATCATTTCCATTTTTCCTTAATAGTATGATATTCTGCTTTTTCCAACTAAAGATGTTAGATGAAAAATTAATTCTTCTAAAAAGATGAAAACTTTTTAGAAGAATTAATGAAAGATAATAAAACTAGAAGAATCTTTTTTAAAATCTTTTCAAGCATGATTTATTCATGGAAATTACTTTTTATAATATGTTTTCTGTTTGTATGATAGCTTTAATGCTTTCAATAATGTCATATACATTATAATATATCCACTGCAAAACACTAAAACTTTTCTACCTTAATAAAAGATTTTATAATTTTTCTTTGTCCAAAAGTCAGGATCTACCTATAGTTTTCTCCTATTTCACATCATCACATTCCTTTCTATTGCTCTCTTCATGCAAACAAACAGTGTGTTGTCAATATTCAAGTTTTTTGGTAAAAAAATAATTGTATAAATTGAATTAACAATAATTGAATTATCTGTAAAAGTTTATAGATATGTCTATTTAAATAATAAAAGGATACTGAACAAGACTTGATTGAAATTTGTAAGCTTCTACAAAATCATGATTATTGATTGCTGTAATACATCTGAAATAAAAATAAAAATATTGACTACTTGACAGTAAGATCTGAAAATAATATAAAAATTAAATATAATTTCTCTTACATTATTAGACAATAAATTGCACATTAAAAGTATATGTAAGGTTACACAGAAAATATCACCTGAGATGAAATGAGACTATATCATTCCATGGTTCTTCTACAATTTTCTGTACTATATTTTCAGGGTTTTCTAACTGGAGGTGTGGACTGACCATATGAAGATGTTGACAAGATAAAAGTTCCTGACACATATTTTAATTTTTAAAAGTTAAATTCTATCTTTAACATCATATATTATAAATAATACAAAATTTATATAACAACAACTTAAAGTGCAAAAATCAAAGCTAAAAATAATTATTACTAAATAAAATTTATCTTGAAATGATGTTTATCTATTTTCAGTGTTTTCACTAATGTATTGTCAGAATTTTGCATAATTCAATTTTATAAATTAACTATGCACTAAATAAAACTGCCTTAATTAATAAAGCATATAATATTAAATAAATTATATTTATTCATTTACAACTACATAACCTTGTAATAAAATCAACATAAAATGTTCTATTTCTATGGCATTCTGTGTTAAATAATTGACAATATATTATAAAAACATAAAAATTTACACTTGTGATTTCAACTGTTTCATTTTCAATGTAATAAATCAATTTTTTCAATATTTATCAAAATGTATATTATTCACATCAGTAATAGGTTTTACATTATTATTTTCAGCATATAAAGATGGCATATACACTTCAGTAAATACACCTTTATGAACATCAGCTGATAAATTATTACAGCCAATTAATTTTGCATTTTATCTACTCTAGTTAAGGTTGTATTAGAGTTAATAATAATACTAAAACAAACAACAATAAAGATACATTCCTCTAGTGTGGTATATAACCACTTCCTATAACTTATTTTGCAAGTTCTATATATGTTAGAGAAATGGTGCCCAAACTTTTCAATTGGCAGGCCAAACTACACATAAGTTGAAGGTAAGTAGGCCACAAATATTTTGTAATTCTGTATATACTAAAAAAAGGTTATTTCCATCATTTATAAGTGATGTGTCAAATATGTTCACAGGTTGAATTAACATGTTCTGTGGAATGGATTTTGCCCAGAACTGTAGTTTGGACACCTTTGACTTTTAGCAATAGATCTGTGATGTTCCAAAAGGTATAGTTTTAATTGCCTAGAAGTGGGACCTACATAATGATATGGTAAAAGATCCAGAGAATGTGAAATCACTTGTAAGATCACTTGCAGAATTAAAATCAGTAAATGCATTAGTGAATGATGCTAATTCTAAATATTTCTTTATTTTGTGACCATCACTCATGTCCCAGCTTGAGTCTTGTTCATTAGTTTATCACTAGATTGATTGAGTTTAGAATAAAGAAACAGTTTCGTGAATTGTTGTGGTAACAGTTAAAGATTTATTAGAAGTGGTAGTTACAGAATTAAAATTATTGATCGATTTTAACAAATATCATTATTTATTTTCAGAGCTTTTTCCTGACTAATTATTTCTTATATTGTAAAGCCATCAAAAAAATACATTCAGGGAAGCAGTCATGATTTTCCACAAAGTTAACAAGATCCAAAGATAGTCTGTTTCATATCTGAATGAAACATACATTCCTCTCTGTCGCGTGAATGTCAAAAGTCTAGTGATTGTCACAAAATTTTAAAAATATTTTAATAAACACTGCAATAACCTAAAAAAGCCAGCAAAAATATTTTAAACAAAGTGCAAACGTTTTTGCCCATATTGAATGGGCATCATCAGGAAACAAGCTGTTGAGAAAAACACTGGGGATTGCCAAACACATATATAGGGGAAGGGTGTATGACATAAGATGGAAAGTGAAGGGAGAGGAAAAGAGAGCTTATAATTCATAGAAAGACTTCCAGGCAATGGGAAAGGAACAATGTTGTGATAGTTTATGGCCAAGTAATGGCAGATGGCCTTGTAAATTTTCACTTGTTCCAGATGTTTAAGGATATATTGTTTAGATGCATTATGTAAGAGGTGCATCCCATGGAAATCTGGGTTGGATGCATAGATAGCCAAAGTTGTATTGGTTAAACCTTTTTTGATGGACATTTGATGTTTTTTGAGACTTGCATGCAACAAGTGAGATGTAGCTCCTATGTATTGTAAACAGTAGTTGTGACATTCGATGATACTGTAGATGCCCAGTATGTGGTTCTTGTCGAGACAGTCTTTGGCATTACAAAGGAGTGAGGCAACAGCAGGACTTCTGCAGAAGGCTAACTGAAATTTGTTTCTTCATGCAATCTCTTTGTATAGGGTGGCAAGAGACTTGTTGTAGGTGATGTCACAAATGTTTTTTCTTCATTAGCGGGTTTATAAATTGGGTAAAGGTGGTGTTGAAAAGTCTGAAATAAGTCTCCTAATATGGTTTAAAATATTTTTGCTGGTTTTTTTAGGTTACTGCAATGTTTATTAATTTCTAAGTTTAAACAGTTGTCAAGTAGAAGTTAACACAAAAAGTATTTTTGTTTGTCACTAGTAAAACAAGAGAGTTAACAGTTTAATAAAGTGACATGTAAAGACTTCTTTTATAAAGTTTGAAAGTTTTAAAACTGTCCCATTATAATTTAATGTAAATATTTTGAGATAGATTATACATTATAATAAAAATTAAAATATACAAAACGCAAACATGTAAAGAAGTCTGAACTCTAACTCATATAAAAGTTTACTTGGATTGGAGCAGGATCAGTAGCTATGATCAGGATTCTAGTTTCAAAGCATTACATACTGTATTTGTATGTATGTATGTATGTTTGTATGTATTTATATTAGTGATGTAATGAATATTTGGTTACTATTCGGTATTCGGCCTATTTTTCCTATTTGGCCGAATACTGAATACCTAAAAACAGGAGTAAGAAATAACAAAAACACAGTAAATTAATCATTTTGGTATTTAGATTTAATGTTNAAGGTTTAAAATATTTTTGCTGGTTTTTTTAGGTTAATGCAATGTTTATTAATTTCTAAGTTTAAACAGTTGTCAAGTAGAAGTTAACACAAAAAGTATTTTTGTTTGTCACTAGTAAAACAAGAGAGTTAACAGTTTAATAAAGTGACATGTAAAGACTATAAAAGTAAATTAAGAGATGGCTGTATCAATGCAAGAGATGCGGATGGTAAATATTCTGCGATAGATTATACATTATAATAAAAATTAAAATATACAAAACGCAAACATATTTATCAAAATATAACTTGCCATTGCTTGCTGTCCCATTCCAGATTGTAAATGTTCGTCGATCTACAGTAAAAGTATTTTTATTAACACATTAAATTAAATGTTAATGGCATATAACAAAACTTAAATACGCTGTCAAGCATTAAATCTAGCTTTAAATCTAGAATTTAAATTATAATATCTCAATACATCATACAATAATATAGATATGTTTCTCGAGAAGTTTAGTCGTCTAAATGCAATACTTCTAAGTATATTTGAATCAAAAACTTTCTTTTGACCACTTACTTGCTGCAAATATTGATTTAAACTCATATACGCCATTATTCCTTGTGTTCAGATATTCCCAAATATATTTTAGCAAATAGATTCGTAGTTTTATAAAGCTCAAAGCTTTGTATTTGTTTAAATTTTCAAATTTTCATTGAAATTGTTCAATTTCACTTTTGATATATTTGTAAGTCACATTTCAAAATTTGAGATAAATATTTTAAGTGTTGCCAGAAAAATTGTTATTGTTATTATTGTTTTTTTTTTTTAATAGAAGAAAATGGATAAACAAATAGTGAAATAAAAATTAATTAAAATACAAAATATATATATATATATATATTTACTAAAATAAATATGGCATGATTGAATCTATACAAAAGGATTTCTGAATAAAAATACTGTATAACAATATTTCTATACATTTTACTCTTTTCACTGTGGGCAATAAGATGGCCTTTTTATAAATTTCTACGTGGGTTGGGCCAAGCTGAGAATACAGAGGCCTGGAGTATCCGGAACAAAATACCCTCAAAAAATTCTAGGTATTTTTCCGACCCGACAGGATTCGTTTACGGACGGCTGGATGGCCAAACGGTCAAGGTGGCAGTCTACCGCTCTGGGGAAACCGGGCGATCTCAGGTCCCCACAGCGGTACGGCGTATCCGGACAGGTTGAAAAATCCCCAAGAAGTTTTCGTGTGGTGATCCATCCGGATATGTCTGGCCCCGTCCCTCACTCCCGACCGCTTTATTGTGGGCTTGGTCGAATTTTTCAAATGTAGAACTAAGAGAGCCTGTTTTTAGCAAGCCCACGATGGCCTTCTTAGTGCCCACAGGGCGGAAAGAGTTACTTAACGCTTTCTACCCTGTGGATGCTAAGAAGGCGTTTTTGATTCGGCCAGACTAAATGGGACAGCCGGGTAGTGAGAGACTGATTCCGACATATTCGGATGAACCACCTACTAAAGTTTAACGACAGTGTAGATTACAAATTTGTTTTATGTTTGAGTTTAATTTAAGTATTTAGATTTTAATTTTAATGAAGTCTTTTTGATTCATTCTTTAATCTAATATGCAATACGTCATTTATAAATAATTCTGTATAAAGCTGTATATCCCATATAATTTCCACATGGTCCTTTGAGGAGAGGAGAGACCATATTTGAGTATCAAGAAGAGAAAAAAGGTTGTGAAACTTTAACTAAAATAAAACACGTGGTTCATAGACAAACCTCGAGAAACAATATTATTATAGATATAACTAACATAGATGTTCTTAGCTCTCCTTTATTATAGATTATAGATTATAGATATAGCTCTCCTTTATTATTATAGATATTTTCTACAATATATAAAATCAAATTTATTGGTATTTTAATAATATTTTTAAAATGTATGTGTATGAAAATTATCGCATTTTTAATCACTATTTTAAAACTACAAATAAATGAAAACATTTTTACAAAACTACTTTTTATAAAGAGATTTAATTCCTTGATTGCTCAATATAAAATAATTTCAAAATGAATTCTTCCTTATTATCGTTGATTGTTATCATTATTTGCGGTAACACAAGTAAATGTCACGCAAGATTTTTATATTATTTTCTTGCTTTTAGTAAACTCTACTCAGGGCCATCGAGAAGAGGAAGAATTTGAGATTTTTCCCTGGGCCAGGAAAACGTTAGGGGCTCCCACTCCTTTGAATTATGTTAGTTCTACTAATAAAATAAAATGTTTAAGACTGATTTTTATTTATTCGAAAACAAAATGGAAAAAGAGCCTACTAAGGAGCAAAAGAATCCTGCTCTATCCTTGGATCCCATGAAAGCTCTCAATGGTCCTGACTCTATTATTACTAATATCGAGAGATGGAAATGCTGATGTTAAAATATCTAACAAAAATAAAAGTAATTAAAAGAGCCTCATCGACGAAATAAGGATATTTAAAAAATAATTTTTTAATTATAATTTTCACAGACGTTATTGTAGACGTGCGGATGACTGAGGCGGTGAAGCCTTCTGCTTTCAGGCATCCAGGATAGAATCTAAATGAGTAACTCCAGAAATTTTAATGAATGGCAGCCCTCGTTCCTCGCCACTCGACCTCCATTATGTGGGCCTAGTCGAAATCCCATAATGGACATGGGAAAAAAGTCTTCTTAGTGCCCACTGAACGGAAATAAATAAAAACGAAAAAAAGTACTTTATTTTAATCTATATTCGGGTATGAAAGTTGAACAATAAAAGTAATGAATAGTAGTATAAACGAAATGCGGCGTATTTATCTGTTTAAAATTACAACTATGAAAGGAATAAAACAAATAATTATAAATTACTTGTCAAATTCAAAAAATATAATATGATAAACAGTTATTTTTTTAAAAAAAAAAAAAAGAACTATTGGACCTTTTCAGTGGATGTGCACCGACGGCTTAAGAGTTTTAGGTGTCAACTTACAGCTTAGGTATCAACTGTAGAGACCCGGAAATAGATCTATATGGGTTGAAAAATCCCAGGAGTTTTTTGGAAAGTGATCTATTCCAGATATGTCAGATCCCGTTCCTCATAGTTGTGGACCTAGCGAACTCACAACAAACTTGAATAAACATCCCTTTTAGTGCCAACAGGACGAAGTAAAAACACGAAAAAGATGAATAAAACATCTATTTGTCCATCATTCAAGCTAGAAACTTAAGTAATTTATAAATTTATGCGCAAAAATTTAATAATAATAATATATTACAGGAAATGCCATTATCCATAAATGGATACTAGAAATATAACGCCAGTTAACAGGTAGTCCAAATTCATCAGACAAGCAAGAATAAATAACTGAGAATGATGTATTATTTGATGCATAAGACATATATCACAACACTGAATGTACAGTACGTACTTATGACCTTAGAAGTCTTATTTATATAAGAATTAATATATATAACTGATATTTTTCGTTTTTACAATATAAAATAAATATTTTGAGAGAAATGTCTCCAAAAATAGTGTCTTGTTTGAAATAATATAATCACATCTATATATCTTATAAGTAGTTTTTGCATATACTTGGCTGGAAACACTATCGCAGTTAATTTTTTTCGTTAACGATAAGCGAGAATTAAACTTACTTACTGGAGATAATTTATCTCATGATAGATAGACATTTTCTTACAAAAATTAAAATAGCATATACATTAAAACCCCAAAAGATTCCTGGGAATCTTCAACCTGTCTGGATTCGATTCCGGATGCCCCATAGCGATAGGCTGCAACCTTAACCGCTCGGCCAATCAGTGTCATTTAAAAACTTTTTTTTTCGTTATTAGCATTTAAAACTAAAGAAATTTAAAGGTATTATTTCATCATGTATATCCTAAATTTAAAATAAAAATTACTACAAATTGATTTAAATATAATAAATTTTCTTTTGATATTTTATTAGTTTCATATTTGTTTTATGCATTGTAAAAAAATTTATGTTCTAGTTAATATTTAAATATTAAAACGCAGCTCAAGTATTTGCAGCTGGTATTATAATATCTTATCAATCATCAGATTAAAAAAAAATCAAATCACTACATTTCACGTTCATTAACCTCACGGTTGCATATCTAATATTACTTTTTGCTAGCGTTAAAAATTGCATTATATTGTTTAAACAATAAAATTAAGAAAATAAAGCTTTCTTGACACACAAGAAATACAACGAAATAATAATTTGTAACAAATATTTTCAGTATTCCTGTAAATGTGTGACCTAAACTTGACCGTTTCTCCTAAGAAAACACCCGTTACAAAGGAACAATTTATATATTTTATTTGACTCACTTGTAAATTTCCTTCCATTGAACTTTACTATTAATATTCAATCGTAACATTGAAAATAATGCAACACAATTTATTTATTTTTCGATTTTTCACAAGTCATGTCATGGAAATCGAATCCGTGTAATTCGAAGCGGCTTCGAATACATTTCAAACAGAACATTCTTTTATTATTATGTTTTTTTCGCTTGGTTTTATTTCATTTTCGATTTATTTTTTCATAGAAAGAAAATTTTCATTTACTTCTTTATAAAAAAAAAACATAAAAAAAGTCAAAAAAATATATTATTTATTTTACATTTAATTTGAATATATATGAAGATCGCACGCTATATCGAATACAATATACGCATGTTTAATAATTTAAAAAAAGAAAAAAATTGTAAAAAATGCGGAAATACATTTTTTAAAATTTATTTTCCAAATATTTATATTATTAATCATAAACTCCGTATCGATTTAGTAACAATAAATAACATACAAAGTTTATTTATTAAAGCAGACGAAATTTCGATAAGAAACGATGTTTATTCTCCCGTACGAGGGCACTGTATCATTGGATAATAACTTTTGACGTCATTACGGCGCATGACGGATTACAAAGTTAGGCTGAAGACAAAACAAAAATACGCCAGTATCTGGGAGACGTTTAAATGACGTAAGTTCCAAATTTTCTTTGTTTCCTATTGTAGGGTCAACTAAACTCTTACTATTCCACGTAAAGATCGTATTGGTTTCAGTATACGTTTTTAAAACTACGTACAAAACTTGCCCTTGATCTACTACATATTGTAATGTGTTAAGTTCTTTTTTTTACATATATACTTTAGCATTGTTTTTTTTATACTGAAACCGTCCCGTAGTTTAATTTATGCTGGAATATTTCAATGTAATTTCGTTACGATTTTCCTGGTAAAGAAAAATATCCCTCCTTTGTTTTGTAAACACTTGATAAGTCTTGTCATTGGACAATAACAATAAGCAGTCTTTATATGTTGTGGCAGAAGTTACTTTTAGTTAAATAGTGTATATGCGTGTATATACATAATTGACTAAAAGTAACTTTCTACTTAATATACTGTTGGAATTTATGTAGTTCAATAACATTAATTTTTATTGTTTTTCTTTCTTTTTTTTATGTATTAACTGTATCTCTACAGATTGTGAAATTAAATAGAATTAGTGAAATATTCTATTTAATTTCAGAAATATGTGGAATTAATGCTGAAAGAAAGTAAAGGATAATGAGGACAATAATCTCAATTATGATCTAAAAAATGGATATGCAAAAATTGCGACTTTATATTAGATTTCGGTAAAAGAGGCTTTGAAATTTCACTTAAATGTTTTCATATTAATAGAAAATATATGGTATGGTCTTGTTTTGTGTGGGGTTGCGTATCGGTGGGTAATGTGTAAAATAAACTCTTGTCTGCCCCGAGAAGGTCTTTAAAATGTTTTGCTTATGTTTTTACTGCAATGACAGTTTAGTTCGGTGTTCATGAATATATGGAGCAAAATTTTATTAGACTGTATTGAGTAGACTAATTCAGAAAAAAGTGCAAACTATTTGCCACGGTGAGTAGTGTTCTGTAAACAAACAACCCTACTAAACCCGATACATTGTAATACTAAAGCCAACCATTGAGATGGTGCTTAATGCTTCCCTCTAGAATCAAATTATTTTGTAATTCATTAATATTATATAGTTAATTAGCCCGATAGCATATGGCAATGGTTGGCTTTAGCATTCTGTAGTTGTCAGAAGTGTGCCTTAGCCTTCCATTTTCCATCAATAACACTCTACAATTGACAGAACACCTTAGCATTATCTAATTAGTTGTCGGATACTGGAGAAGCACGGTTTGCTGATGTAAGAGTTAAATTCATTTACACATTGATGTGGTTGTTTTTTGGAGGTTAGTGATTGGAAGCTGCTGCCTCTTTCATTTTAATTCTCTTAACATACAGTGCATTGTCGAGTGTTTCTTTAACTTTTATTGTCCATTTGAGAACCTTCTATTTTTGTTTTGTCTGGATATTAGTGTTCTTTCTGTAATAAACTAAACAGTAACTAAGAATATCAACAGTTGAACTAATATGACAACTGTTGATATTTTTAATTGTTTGCTAAAATAAAGGGAATCTCTCCTTACTTCCTCCTATTATATTTATCTTTTATCACTGTTGCTTGGGATGTTGAGATTTTATTTACAGTACTTTGTCAATGTTTTTTTATAAATATATATTACATTTTTTAATATTATAGAATCATTTGCTCAAATTGTTTAGAATTTATTTGAAAACACAAACATTTGAATTTACAAAAAATAATAAATACTAAAATGAGTTATTTAAAGTGATTATAAAAAATGGCAATTGTTTTAAAATGGAGAAATAATTGACAATTATAAATGAATGTTTGGGAAAAGAGGTAGATGGAAAATATTTGGAAATACTGTAATTGGATTATAATTTGAACTGAAAAGAAGTATTTGAGTATAAATGTGTGTTTAAGTTACCTTTTGTCAAAAATGTAAATTATTGTAGAGAAAGTATCATTCATTCTAATGATTTTGTTTTAGGAAAAGTATTCATTTGTCAAAAATCCAATGATTTATGTATGTGAAAGTTACTGAGTCATCACTTGTATTGATTGTCATGATTGCTCTAATACAAAGTGGAAAGGTTCAAAATTTAAAAATTTTACAGTTTATATTTTTGTTCTTAATTTTAATTAAATTGTTCTATTTTTATCATTTTTGTTTAAAAGCAATCAACTATTCATTTTTCTCAATTATCATCTCTAGACACTAGATCTAATTAATCTGATTATTAATAGTCCAAATACTTACCTTTACACATATACTTTGTATTAATTAATGATTAATTAGCAAAGATATAAGCCCAAGGTAATCTGTTGTTGGGAGATTTGCTTATATAAACAATCAATTCCAAACTTTATAATATCCTTTAGAAAAATTGGCACAGCATATGTCATTTTCAAAATTTAATAATCCATTGTTTAAGAATGTCTGCAGCAAAGTTGTAAATTTATTTTAAAAGTTTAACCAAACACCACAAATGCCAATTCTCAATTTGAAATTTTCTCAGATTTTAATTAACAACTACTAAACTTTAAACTTTATGCAGATAAAAAAGATAAAATAATTCTTTTATTATTAATTTTTATTTAAATTTCTTATGAATTTAGAAAATTACATGTTTGAACATGATTCTGATGAATGGTATTAAAATCTAGTTCTTTAAACTAATGAATAATAGTCAAAAACAATGTTGTGTTAATTTCCTACTTCTAATTATCACAAAAAGAAAGAAAATAGAAATGGGTCATGTATGGCTTAATGCTGTTAAAAATATAAACATCAATTAACCCAATTTTTAGATTAATGCCAAACGATTGACATTTAATTATTAAACAGTATCAGTAGCATTATTGTAGTCTGATGTAATCTGGCAATTGTTTGGCATTAATTATTTAAATAACTTAGCTAAAAAATATTGTCATATAAAATTGATTACTATAAATATTTTCCTAATAAACTTCTGAGGTGAAATAATGTAGTAAATTATATTAAAATGATTATATATACTTTAAATAGTTGTTAAAGCATATATACTATAATAATAGATTTAAATCTTTAAGGTTTAAAAAATAATATTAACAGTGGCATATACAAATACAAGGGGGGCATTAGTAATAGCATTGTTCATAAAATTCCTTTTGTAGATAAATTTAATAAAACTTAAAAATGTTTATGAATATAGGCTACAGTCATTGATAAAAAAAGTTATTCACCCAGACAGAATTGTTCAATTGCAGAAAAACTTGTTTGTTAATGTTTAAATTTATGGTTTGATTGCATATTAGGTATTAAAATCAGAATACTTTAAAATTGCTATGCCAATATCCTATAAAAGGCATGAAAGGCTCATTGTGTTCAGAATTTACCTATTTGGAGGTCTTCAAGCACCAAGCATGCCTGTATGATGCAGTCAAAGACGTTATGTACAGCTGATGGTGTTTGAGAAAGGTGTAACATCAGACTGAAAGAAGTAGAATGGCCATTTTGCTGGTGTCTATTTGGCTATTCAGAGCTACCTATGAAGAAGTGTTGGGATAATGGGTATGTGAGATCACATATACATGATGCCCAAGTTCTGGATGCTCCAGACAGACCCCACTGGAGAGATGATCATTTGATCATAGGATAAATTTAAACATCTGTAAAGACATTTGTCTGCCATCCAGAAATAGATGGAAGCCTTGCTACAAAACCAACTCTCCTCTGATACCACTGGCAGTTGATAAACAGAGATAAATTTACATACATGGTAATTGCTATACATCCTGCCATTAGTTCTCCAACATTGCTGGATTCATTTACAGTGGAGCTGTGATGGAGAAGCATGAACTACCATGGACTGGCAGCATATCATTTTCACTGAAGAACCTTAGTTCTGTTTTGGAACAGATAACCACTGTGTTAATGTGGAGGACCATTGGTGAATGTTTCAATCCTGCCAGTATTGTAGCTTACTGCCCCCACTGTTGGAATGTTGATCTGGGGCTCTCTCATTTGATAGTCTGTTATCCCTAGCAGTGGTACAAGAGGCATTGATGGCACTATGTTATATGTTCAGGAAATGCATTGCCGTAATTGCTACATTTTATGGTAGGGATATAGTTGTTTTGCAGCAAGGTAATCTGTCATACATAGCTAGGATTTCCCAGGAATGTTTGTCATGTCACACTTCCTTGGCCTGTCTGGTCCAGATTTGTTGCCCATCAAGTATTTTTGTCTTCCAGCTTCAGCCATATATGAGAATGAGAGATCTGGGATGGTAATTGTAACATCCATGGACAAATTTGTTGCAGGATAGCATAGTATCTGTGTGCCTCCATGCCTGACTATATTGCTTCACATATCCAGGCAAGAGGTCCTAAAACAATACTAAAGATTACTTTAAATTGTAGTATTCTTCCATAGGAAATAGTTGTTTTGCAAAGATAATGTAATCACTTACTGCCACCAAGTTTGCACTAATGTATAAAGTTTATTTCAATTTCAATGCCATTTTCTTGGGGTGTAACTTTCTGTCAAGGATGAATACTGATGAATAGAAAAAAACATAATTTTTCATTATGATAATGCAAGTCCTTAATTTTATTTAATTTTTGTCACAATTTAAGTGTTCATTTGGAAAATTGAGTCATCTGCCATATTCTCTAGATCTTGTTTCTTCTGATTACTTTCAGCTCTCTGCAGAATGTTTTAGATGAGAAGAAAATATGGTTGTGACCCTTTTTTTCTTTTTATTTAACATCTAAGTCATTTGAATTTCATTATTGACAACCTATGGCTATTGATCAAATAATTCGGAAACTATTAAACTGATCATTGGTCAAATTTTCAAAGTGAAATGAAGACAATACATGAGGTTCTGATGTCTCCAAAGCATTGATGATAGATTGAATGACTGAAATATGCCTAGTCATTCACTATTGAATGAAAGCAATTGCGGTGCTTCCAACAAGAAATTGGTTAGAAAATTTCATTCAGAAGCAAAGGAAAATAGAAAAACATTTGAATTACAAAAATGAATAGTATCAATTAATTGTTTGTAGTATAGAATGATATACTGTTTTCAAGAAAATTGTACATTGGAGACCAAAAATACAGAGAGGAATTGGTTCACAAAGAAAAAAGAATAAAGTTATACTTTGTGTAACATTATATATGTCACAGAATTAGTTTGATGATACAGATTCTAAAATTATGCAGATTTGTTTTATGGCATACATTTGTTAAAAGAATCTTTCAGAAGTTCAGTCCACAACTTTCATTTGATAGTTGATGATCATTTTATCATTCAGTCCATACTGTAATGTTTTTGGTACTCTTTATTCAAAGTTACTGGAGTATATAAGGACTTAAAATATTGTCCTTGATCAAAGATGCAAGTAACATATTCAATAGTAGTGAATAATACTGAACAAATTGAAGTAGCAAATCATAATGTGTTTCCTTAATTTTTTAGATTGTAATATGATAAATCATCATCATATTCTTGTATATTATAACCTCTAATGAAAGGTCTTTCTGTTGGCTTTTAAGTAAATCTTTTGATTGCTAATGATATGATTTTAATTTTGACAACTCATTTTTATCTGATTTTTATAATGTTAAAAAAAATTGAAATACAGTTAGAAGATTCATTTAATCAATACAATAATAATTATTTAATTTGATCAAACATTGTCAATCATATTTTCAGATTGCATTCTTGTGACTTCATTAAAAGTAGATAATCAATAATTAACTCATCTGCATAAAGGATACCAGCGAATAAGTTTGAAAAATAAATGTCAGGAATATGAATATTTCACTCTAAAAAGTTGAAATAGAAAATACTCTAATCTGTATTTGTTGAACATTTAACATCTTGTGTGTTAAGAATTCAGTCAAAGAGTATAATAGGAAATGACTCAGTGCATAAAGAGATTATTTAATATATATATTAATGAAGTGGACATAGTAATGTAGATTAGATAATTCAAGTTTGAGATCTACTCACATAAATCTTCAAATGTATCCAAAAACAAATTTGAAATTCCCATCATCTCAAAACAGGATTTAAATGTCTGATCAATAAAATTCTTTTTCAGAAAATAATTAGGATGAAGAGTAAACGTAACTAATAAAGATCTCAAAGAATTACTTTGGAATGAAATGGAGAAATAATGAATAAAACAAGTCAGTAGATACAATTTTCTGAATTTATAATTATTTCATTTAAAGCAAGTTATAAAATATATAGATAGTATTTTCAAAAAATTATGAATTAAAATTATTAAACTTAATTCTTAAATATTATATAATATATATATGCATATAGTCTTTTTATAAGATATAGTAAATGTTTTTTTTTTTTTTTAATTAATCATTAATGATACCTAGCATTTTAGCAGTGGATCAGCTGTTTATAAACTTGTTAATTTAATAGTTAGCTTTCAAAAACTTTTAGAAATTTATTTATATATTGATAGAATGTTTTAATTATATTTTGATAGAAGTTATTTGAAATAAATGTATGCAATATAATGCATTTATCAGAATGTGAAATAGTTAAAATTTTCTTGTGTATATTATTAGTCCAAAGACAGTTAAAATGATCCAAGTAATCAGATTTTTACATTATCATCATATCAAAAGGTTCACAACAGCATCAAAATCCTTTATTTCACTTTCATATGTTTTGGCTTACTTAAAAAGTATAAGCTTGCCTAAGATGAACAGAGATACATTAAAAAGTTTGATTCATACCATTTCAATGTTTTACAAATACAAATTTTGATAACACCATACATTTTAAATTATAATGCAATTGACATTTAAGTTGCAAATGTGATGAAATACAGAAATAGTATCAAAGCAATGTAATAACTTGGAGGATTGTCTTCAAGTGTTTGAATGGATTGTCAATTTTTATTAAGATTGTATAGGAATTTTGAAATATAAACAGGTTTTGAGTTAGAGGTTCCTACACAATAAAGGGTACGTTCGTAAAGTCAAATGAGCTAAACGCATTAGTAATGAATCGTTCGAAAAGTAGTAGTCTCACCCAGTACGCATGCTCTGCAGTGATGATGTTTCAAACAAAACTCTAACGAAGTTCACAAAGGAAAGAGTTAGTTTACTTCATTAAGAAAATAGCACCTGATGATATCAATGTTTCTAAATCTACTCAAGTGTTTAAATTGTGAATTAAAAGTGAAATGATTGAAATAACTGTCCACCCGAAGCAATCTAAGAAAAATATTTCTGATAAGGTTGTACTAACAACATTCATATCTTCAATTTTAGAAACATCCATTTAGTTATAAACAAATCATTTGAAAATTCTAACGAAATAAGAATAACGATGACGTCATTCTCGTTTAACTCGTTCGACGTTATGAACGTACCCAAATAGTAATAGGTTTGATTGGTGTGCCAAGAATGGACTAGGCTAGTTCCCTAAATTCCTTGAAGTACCTTCTAAATATTATTTTTAATGCATTTGTGTTTGAAGCCTTTATTCCTGTATTTTTCCTATCTGGCCATCCTTCATCTACACTGAGTTCAGCTCTTCCATGAGCCAACCTGAACACTTCTCATGGCTCCTTTTAGTTGATCATTGACAGGACTAGCTTGCAGACATGTGCTGTTGTTTTGTGTGCATCCAGGTGGTTCTGTTTCCTGTGCTTATTGAAAATGACATTGCATTAGTGATTTTGTATTTTTATTATCATAAAACACTTAAAAGTTTTCATGTAAAGTGTGAATATACTTAAAAGACGGTATATGTGATGTAGAAAGCTTTGAATTCAACATGGAAGAGGACTCATTAGGAGAAGCAGGTCTCTTGCAGCGAAACATAATGCAGTTTGAAATTGTGAATGATGCAGATGATCTAGGTGAATCATCACAGCAAGTGAAGACACTCAACAGTTTCTGTGCTGTATTCTGGATTTCCTGCTTGAAAATATTCATTTGGAGCCTTAAGTTTCCAAGAAAAAAATTTCAGCAACAAGTTACTTAACTTTCCCACAACATTATAACTGTGTGGCACCATCTGTTATGATATTTTATTTAAAATTTTTAAAAACATTTTTAATTATTATAAAATGACAAAAGGCTTAATTTTGAGGATAAATATGTGTCATAAAAAAATTGTAAATTGTAATAATGAGTAAAATCATCATTAAGTCCGACCCTACTTGAGATATGACACACAATCTCCCTCTCCCCACCCCATTGACCTTTAACCACCAAAATTTAATGGCATTAATGGTATAAATTAATACACAAACCTCCCTGCAAAATTTCAGAAATTTTCAACAAAAAGCACAGGAATTATTAAGCTTCAAAGAGAGTGAACAAAATCAAGCTCCCTCCACACTAATATCCATACTTACAGAAAAAAACTCAAAGTTTTTTGTATTTCTCGACATTTCAAGGTCCCTGAATCAGAAATGTAAAATTCTTGGGAGAGTCATTTTTTTTTACTGATTTTCATTTCTGTTATATACAACAATAAAATTAATGTGCCAATAATCTGTGAATAAAATGAGTTTTTTTGGGTGTTTAAATAATAATTGATATAATGTATGAAAGATGGATTTTCTCACAATCCTGTCCCTTTTGAAAATTGTCACCACTCGCCGCTGATTGGAAGTATGATATTTTATTAATATAATAGCAAGTACAGTACGTAAATGTATTATGTCAAAAATCTTATTAATACTTATCTTAACAAATAGTTTGTCAATAGTTTTTGATGTTTGACTTCCGCAAGCCAAACTTGTAGCCAATTAGAGAAAAGTAGCATTAATTGCAACTATGTACTATATTACAAAAGATGTTTCTTAATTACAATTTATGCTATCAAAATATAATTTTGAATTTGTAATTGACACTTCAGTCCATAATTTGAGATGTAGAGGTTTTGGGAAAAAATTGAGATAAAGCATGCAAAATATATTGAATTTAGGCTGAAAATGCAGGGGAAAATAAATACAGCTGTCCCTTGATAATCCGACAGGTATGGGACCAAAGGGGTGTGTGGATTACTGAAAGTGATTACATGTTTGGCATTGTTTTGCTAGCAGTAGCCTACAATATTCCCTACTCCAACTGTTCAAACAGAACTGCTCACAGAAAACACATAAAATGTGTGTCATCGTGTAAGAATTGGTGGGGAGATTCACGTCGCAACATGCTTCTGTGCAAGCAGACACATAATGGGGACGCGTACCTTGATGGGAGGTGCGTCGGACTACTGAGCATGTCAGATTACAAAACGTCGGACTATCAAGGGACAGCTGTAATTCTCAGATATAGGTTCAACCATATATAAAAAAAAACTTTTTAACTTTCTTGTGGCTTAATTCAGGAAAATTAAAATACCCAAATGTAAAAGCTTCTTTGAAAAGAATTCTTACAGCTGTACTAAATAAAGTTCAATAATTTTTTAAAATTCAGTTTTTTGGATTTAATAAATAGAAATAAAATTTATATAACATACTTATAGTGAGAGCTATTTATTTTATTCTTGATAGTTTGCTGTATCAAAGTGAGATTGCATTCATGATGTTTCTATTCAAATTTTAATAGTCTTTTTAATTACAAAGTCCATAAGTCTACAAAGAATTTTATTTTATTTTCAGTGAACCAAATTGGTTATAATTGTTGGTAACTATGTCATGTTAAAAAATTTGTTAATGTATTGTTTAATCAAAAATTCTATAATCTTCAAAAAATGTAGTTTTCAGAGACTTAAAAATATACATCACTGTTTTTTATGTTTAATGAAAATGCTTTGTTTAATATATTAATTTTTATTATAATTTAATATGTAATGCCTGAAGACTGTTCAATTTATCAGTTTTTTAAGGACAAATTTGGAAGTTGTTGACTTCTTCTATGGACCAATACCAATTAATAGCATTTGAATCATTACTTCAGTAAACATGTCTAAATTTAGATTTGGTATTCCAAATGTGATTAGATCTCACAGAATCCAAATAGCTTTGAGGAAAAGTGTCCAATTAGTTGAATATTTTCATTTTTACTTGAAGATCCATGCAACTTTGAATATTACAAATTAATAGTACGATTTGAAAATTCTGTTAATAATTAGATGCATGCCTTAATCTTTGTGTTAATCTATGTAACTATTCCAAATGTGATTAGATCTCACAGAATCCAAATAGCTTTGAGGAAAAGTGTCCAATTAGTTGAATATTTTCATTTTTACTTGAAGATCCATGCAACTTTGAATATTACAAATTAATAGTACGATTTGAAAATTCTGTTAATAATTAGATGCATGCCTTAATCTTTGTGTTAATCTATGTAATATATTTTACTAGCAGATAGGCCCAGAGTTGCTTGGGCAAAAAGTAATGATAGCAAAGATTAAGATTATTACATTATATCTTACCCGTTTTCAAAGAATGCAAGAATTAGGTCCCCTTGTTTCCAGACTAATTAGAGAATTTTTAGATGGGTTAAAAAATGTTCGATTTCTCGCAAAAACGAAAAAACTGTCTGTGTCTGTAAATCTTGCATGTCATTTTCTCTTAACACTTCCATTGTTGAAACTTCCCCGCAGGGGGAAGTGTTAAAAAACTCATTCCTGCTGGTGGAATTTCAAAAAATCCCTTCTTAGTGTATATTCTCGTATATTCTATTAAAACACAAAAAAAAAAAAAAAAAAGCATCTGTGCCTGTAAATCTTTCACGTCTCTTTCTCTTAACACTTCCATTGTTAACACTGCCATTGTTACTTAATTAATAATCTTTCTGTGGCGGATTTAGGATGATGTTGTTTATGCTTAGTAAGTGTTGTTCTTGTTTTCCTTTGGAGTTGCTCGAGATCTGTGTGAGTCCAATGTGTAACTCCAAAAGAGTATGTGAGTACTGGGATGACATATGTGTTTATTGCTTTAACTGTGTGTTTTGCATTTAGCTGTGTTTTGAGAATGGCTTTAACCTACTTTGGTATTCTTTAATTAATCTTTGCTTTATTTGTGTATGTTCTGTTAGTTTGGCCTGTTGGAATTCTAAATACTTGTAGAACTCACCCTCTTCCATGGATTCAATAATGTCCCCATTTCCAAGTGCAAAATCTTCTTTCTTCAGGATTCCTTTTTCTATGTGAAGTTTTTTGCATTTTTCTAAGCCAAACTCCATTTGTATGTCTTTAGTGTATGAGTGTAATCAATGATTGCATCTGGCCATAGTGTAGCAGTTATTTTTTGCCCTGTGTGTATGCTGCAAACACTAAAAGGACCTTTATTTTTAACCATGTCCATCAGTTTTTGTCAGGTTTGCATTGGAGAAACCCAGGCTTTTTAACAAAAACTTATTTAAGTTATATATATCAAATAAGTATGATTTGATTCAGCATAATAAAAAAGTCTTCAATAATTAATAATTCAATAAAAAATTTTCTTTAATTAGAATTATACATTTGTTTTAGCCTCTGCCTACTTAATGCTGAGCATCCTTCAATTTTTACCACAGTGTTATCTCACAATGTCCCTTATTTTAGTTTTGAACTTATTTCAACCATAGATTAGTGAGCAGATTTTGGAGATCACATAATCTTAATTTAAGACTGTATGTACTGTACTTATTTCTTTTTATGCTATATGTCCCATTAGAAAGCATTCAGAAATTTTGGAACAAGGGTGTTCTCATCTTTTCAGAGGCCACCTCTTGTATTTCTGGGAAGTTAAAGTAATATGACTGGTAAATGTACTGTATTTACTGAATAATCAGTAAAAACAGTACATTTAGAGCAGTAAAATTGTTGATATAAGAATGGAAACTAATATGGTGTATGTACAGAAAAAATAATGTGATAATATGTCCTCATTTTTATATTGCTATTCTGTATAATTTCTGATTATGTACAGATTTTTAATATCTGTTTTTTAGATTTCAGTTATTTTAATAAAATAAAATCTTTAATTTTAATTTATAGGTTTAGAAGATAGTGATAAAACGATAAACACTATCCTCATGTGCAGATTATCTTGATGCAGTCTACTAGTTCTATTGATGGCAAACTGCCAGTATTTGTATTTCCATCTTCACTAACATTCTATGAAGATGATCAGTCTTCTCATAAACAAATTCTCACATTATATAATCCCTATGATTTCGCTGTCAAATTTAGAGGTAAGTTTTATTTTTAAAAATAATTTTTAATATTTGCTTATTAATAAAAATCTTTACTGACATTTTATATATATACACACAATATATAACATTAGTGTAATAAGTGTTATCTGCATATATGAAAGGCAAAACTAAAATATATTATTTTAGTTCTAGAATTAGAATTAACTACTTATAAAAATCTCTCCCCATTGCTCAAACAAGAAAAATGCTCTTCCTAACTACAGATTTTAAAAGATTTTGTTACAAGAAATAAATGGCATTTCTTTTAAACATTATGTAAAAATTCCGAAATAATAACATAGTTTATAACCTTGTATTTTCTTTTGAAACTCCTTTTGTTTATTAATTTAATGACTAGTTCTATAATTTCAACAAAGATAGTCATTTATCCAGAAAGAACTTTTAGAGATATGAAAAAAGAATCTCTTAATATTTAGATTTATAGATAAATTAAGGAAAATGGCAAATACAAAGTTTTTCAACATCAACAATAATAAAGTTCATTTAAAGTTAGATTTAAAAAATTATGAGAGAGTTCATTATTTATCCTATATTAATACAAATGTTAGTGACTCATTGATGACTGTCTAAAGAAAACCACTTACATGCCATCTGTATTCATTATACAGAAAATTTTCTAACTAAAGAATTTGAGGGGGTTCATTATTTTTGAGTTAATATGAGAATTCTGTGTATGAAGACTAACCACAAATGATCAGTTATGACTCTAAGAGTATAAAATGCTTTTAGAAATAAATTTACCTAATAAAGCATGGACAAAACTAAAGATGCAAAGAAATTAAATAATCATACATTTGTCTTAAACAGTTTATAGTGGCACTGCAGACTGTTGTACTCATGGCAGGGTTGCCAGAAATCAACCAAGGCTTGTGCAAATGCTTAGTGAAACATTGCCTTTTTTGTCATAAGAAAAGCTAAGTTTAAAACTTTACCTTTTAACCTATTTCATGTTATCCTGAGATATATCGGGCTGAAAAAGGAAGACCTGGTCTGTTGGACCTGAGATATCTCATTTATGCATTGGAACGTTTTTGACACTAGATGTTGCTACTCGTCATAATTATCATATTAAAACTAACTACCAAAATATAATTTTTTATGTTTTTACATTTTTCAATATGTATTTTGTTTGTGCAAAATAAAAAAGTAATTTTGGATGATACAATAGCCATGATTATTTTTTTCTAGACATGTAATTTTCGTTACACTTAACATTGACAGAAATTCAACATGAAGCGACACGCATCAGAGAAATATTTCAACATGGGATGGGTTAATGTTAGAATCTGTAGATAGAGATGATAAATTCTTGAATAAATATTGTTAATAAGTAAAAACGTTGACATTGAAAAGTTAAAATTTTCTTCAAAATTAACCCAGAATCTGGCAACTCTGCTCTGTGTCTGAAACCATTATTGTAAATATTGGGCCATAAACCATTAGTAAATATTGGGCAGTAATCCAACTATATGTGCATTATGTTCATAGTTGAAGCTAGTGTCCTTAGCCTCTTCTCAAACAGATATTTTCAATACAGTCTGCTGTAATGTAAATGATTGTAAAATTCCCTTTATTTTAGAACTAAAATAAAGGGAATTTTTTCCAGAAGTCTTTTTGAATTTGTTTGTTATACAGTTTACTAAACCCAATATATTTATATACTGCATATGCCAAGGATTATCAGTTGTTCAGTTAGGAAGAAGTTTGTTATAGGAAGAATTAGGAAACTTCATATACTTTAAAATGATTCTTTCAATTAAAAACAGGATTCAAAATTGTCTTTTGAATTCATTCATTAAAAGAACACTACAGTCTGTTACAAAGTATAGGAACACCACAAATTTTGTGATTTTTCAAAATTTATTTAAATTTTTTTTATAGGAAACAGTTTTATATGTTTTAAAACAATTACAAAAATATCATTTTGAAGCTTTTTATCTTTTAATAATAATAATAATAATAAAGTTATCACAGTTTTCACTTTTTACTTGTTACAAAAGTATAGGTACACTTTCTAAAATTACATAAAAATAAATTTTAAATATATTTTAAACACTTTTAATATTTGGTTTCACTCCCTTTGGCTACAATTACTTGAAAAATTTTGTTAGGCATGGAGTTTATTAATTTTTTTTAATTGTTCATTTTTAATTTTATCCCATGTATCCATTATTGCAATTTTCAATTGATTTACAGATTCATATTGTTTCCCATTTTGATAAACAATGGCTGCTAAAATCCCCCATAAATTTTCAATGGGATTTAAATCTGGACTACATGAAGGCCAGTCAATTACATCAATATTTTCTTTTTTTAAACCAATTTCTTGTTGACATTGAGGCATGAATGGGAGCATTATCTTGATGGAACTACCATTTATGACCTCCAATTAATGCACCAAATGTAATCATATTTTTGTCAACAAATACTAAATCAGTTTTATCTCCAAAATCATACTCAGCCCCTTGTTACCAGCTTATTTTAACTCTGCTTTCTCTTTTTTAATCATGCCAATAATACAAAAACCCATCAGGGTCATCTAAATTAAACTTCTTCTCATCACTAAACGTTATTTCTTGCCATTCTTCAGCTTAAATGTATTGATTTATGTTTGGCAGTTAAAGGTGGTTTCAACTTCATTTTTAAATATTTTACATTGTCATTGTTTTTTAAAGTTCTCCAAACAGTTGCATGAGATACATCTATTGGTAATTCAGCAGCTGCTTGCCTTGTTGACATGTTTTTATTAGTTATAAGCTTCAAAACTTGTCTCTCATTCCTGGATGTTAAACATTTAGACCGTCCCGACTTCCTTTTTTGCCCATAATTTTTACCTTGTTGGAAAACATTTTGAATAGCATTTGCAGATCTATTTACAGCAGCAGCAATTTGTTTCAGAGATTTGCCTGAACACTCAAATAATAAATTTTACATATTGCTCCTGAAGTATAGTTCCATGAGGCATTGTTGCAAATGTTTATATAACATTCAATAAAACATTCAAAAAAGCCACCATGACAGTTAAAAATGATGATATCTCATCCTAGTCATGATAATTTTAATTATTTATATTATTATTATGATAAATTAATTTTTAAGAGACTTTTAAGTGATGTACCTATACTTTTGTAACACATCAAAAAATGAACATTTGTGAAAAAAATTGCAGTTTGTTTTTTTAATTGGAGTTCAGACCTAGTTTTAATATTAAATATAAATTTTTAAATATTTTTTGTAAATATGATTTTCAATCATTTATATTTTTAGNTAAAGTCTTTGTAAATCCGCACTTAAAATGTAAATTTTAATATTGGCGGTAGACTATCACACAGCTTTAGCCAATGATTTCACTTTATTCTATTACCATAGATGCATTTCGGTCCTTTTTTTAAAAAAGGTCCCTCTTCAGTACTATAAAATACAAAAGTTTACATAAACTTTTTCAGCAAGTAAATATTTAACATAACAATAAATATTTTAGTATTACAATTTTAGTATTTAATTAATGTTTTTATTAGTTATAAGCTTCAAAACTTGTCTCTCATTCCTAGATGTTAAATGTTTAGGCTGTCCTGACTTCCTTTTTTGCCCATAATTTTTACCTTGTTGGAAAACATTTTGAATAGCATTTGCAGATCTATTTACAGCAGCAGCAATTTGTTTCAGAGATTTGCCTGAACACTCAAATAATAAATTTTACATATTGCTCCTGAAGTATAGTTCCATGAGGCATTGTTGCAAATGTTTATATAACATTCAATAAAACATTCAAAAAAGCCACCATGACAGTTAAAAATGATGATATCTCATCCTAGTCATGATAATTTTAATTATTTATATTATTATTATGATAAATTAATTTTTAAGAGACTTTTAAGTGATGTACCTATACTTTTGTAACACATCAAAAAATGAACATTTGTGAAAAAAATTGCAGTTTGTTTTTTTAATTGGAGTTCAGACCTAGTTTTAATATTAAATATAAATTTTTAAATATTTTTTGTAAATATGATTTTCAATCATTTATATTTTTAGTTTTGGCAACGTCCCCAAGTAAATATGTTGTTGTTGATCCAGAAGGAGTAATTAAAGCTCGTTGTTGTGTCGACATGTAAGTTTACAAAATAATTTAATCAAATAATCTCATTGATCATAAAAAAATATTTCATATTATAAATCTAATTACAATTTTTAAAAAAAGGCAGGCTTTATTTTACAATAGTGGAATTAAGTTTTAAAACTTAGTTTGTATTTTACATATTACAGTGTTATTCGTCACAATGCAATATTTCCAAGTAATTATGGTGTCACCGATAAGTTCCGAATACAAATGCAAGAATATGGGCATAGTCAAGTAGCTGGTAAACGAGATGTATTGTCGATACTCTGTCCAACAAAACCTGATAGTTCAGCCACACTTTCCACAGAAGCTGAGCAGTTTCAACAACTTCATCCTTTGTCATCACAGACCAGTCATAGAAGACAATATTCAATAAATGGTGGTAGAACAAGTAAGTGTTCTAATCATTATTTGGAATTTTAAAATTAAGACATATGAACCAAGAATACACATTTTATTTTTTTATTCAGCAAAATTTTAAAATTACTTTAAACAATGATTAAATATTTGTATTTAGTAAAAATAGAACATTTCAGACTTTATTATGTTTGAATATATGTTCTTACTGTAGGTTATAAAGGAATAATTCTTATCATTGACAAGGAAAAAATATACTTAACCATTTTTTATATCTGTAATATCCATTTGATGTCCATTATCAAGTATGTGGGAAAAAAATGTTAACTGCCCTTGAATAGTAACTACAGAGAATATATAAGTACAGTAGATCCCCCTATAAGACGGTAGATACGTTCCGTTCTTCATGAATCAATTTTGTAGGAATCATAGTTTACGGACTACGGCTGTTTGAAAGGTTTTCTTTCATAAAATTAATCGATTCTAGACTAATTCGACTCAACATTTCCAAAATACGTATATTTTTTTGAAAATAATCCGTATAAACTACGTTATAAACAAAAAATTGTAGGATTGCTTACCGAGTGTGTACCGTTCGACTACGCCCGTTGCTAAAGCTTGGTTTCGTCGCGGAACAGCGCATCAAACTGCGGCCGCGATTTCTGATATTATTTTTCTGCGAAAACTTCGTTGACCTTTGGAGACATCCTTAATATAAATAATTTTTATGGCCGTTAAATAAGAAATGTTTCTTTCACAAGAAATGTATAAAATTACAGTACTGGACAGACGATAGGTCGCCTAACTCGCCGTAGCGTGACGCTAGACGGCGAAAAATATATATTTAATTATAATAAAGTTACAATAAATTAAGTTAATATATAATTATATATACAGTACCTAATTTATATATAATTAATATATAATTATATGTACAGTACCTAATTTATATATAATTATATGAACAGACGATACTAAACTCAATTTATCCGCCTAAACGTCCGTAGCGTGGCGCTACGGACGGCGGGAAAGTAGTTCGGCTGCCCGATGACGTTTTACGTATTATAGGAGTTATTTTTACCGTTGTTTACGGATACTGCCACAATTTTTATAGGAATCATAACTATAGGAAACGGTTTTATAGGGGGATCTACTGTATGTTGTTTAAAAAAGTAGCTGTGATTATTATTCAAATAAAACTGGTATTTGTACATACCAGTTTTATTCAAATAATAGCTGCAGCTACTTTTTTAAACTGCATGTTTTCTCTAGTTACTATTAGAGTGGTTAATATTATTTCCTTTCTACATGCCATTTGATGTCTGTCATTATTAATAATCTATTGTTTAAAAAATAAAATTTTTCTGTTGTACTGAACAAATAAACATACTTCTCAACAGGAAATCATGAGAGTTAACTTTTTAGTAATTGTTTTTAATGAATAATGGCAAGTAGATGGATCTCATAAAATAAGAGATCCTTTTGTCTTGGTATGATTATTTTCAATTTTTTGTAGATTTAAACTGTGCATAAGGCATCATACCTGATTGGTATAAATAGAGTATTTTTATATATCATCAATATTAGGTATTCCATGTGTGCAACTTGACTTTTCCATTCTTTTTGGAGATAATCCTTTTGCTTTTGAGTAGTATTGAAGATTTGTTAATGCTAAATTGTAAAGCAGTAAACATTTGCTTGAATAGTTTTGTATTTGAAAAGAAAATTAAGATTAATAAATGCATTTTGGAACACTTTTTGTAAATGAAATTATTTTGATCTTTTAAATAGAAACTACAGAACACTAACACATTATAGTTTGTTTTTTTTTTTTTAAGTTTTACATTTAGTTTCAATGATTCAAAGAATTATAATAATCGCAAGAGATTATTATAATTCTTTGAATCTGTTTGTCTGAAACAGTCAAAGAATTCTTTGACTGTTGTCAGTCTAGAACAATTGCAAGAAATTGTTCTAGACTGACAACAGTTAAAAATATAGTTAGTACTATTAAAAGTCTCTGTATATACAGAGGGATATGAAAATAAAAATCAATGAAGGAATAAAATATATTGAGTTAGAATTTCAGTCTTTTGTATAATTTATTATATAAACCACAAAATTTGTTTATGAAAATATTTCAGTTTACAAGTAATCTTCTGATTTTATCATTTCTTTTTCAGTGTAAAAATGACAACTTATTTTGTGATGATAGTTTTCAATAAGTTAGATATAAATGTAATATACTATTATTTCTTAATAGAGGTCTTTATTTAAGTGTGTTAAACGTTTTTTGGGCTTTTTCAGCTTATCTTCAAATAAAGTTTAAAAATCAATGAAACATCAGAACTTTTTCAAACTCATTTGAATTGAGTTTTTCAAAAAGTTCTAATATCCTGCAACTGAAGATGAGCTGAGAAATCTTGAAAAATGTTTATACAGATCTTTAAAAAACTATTTTTTTATATGTAAGACATATGGAATCAAAGATTATGAAGTTATATTCATGTCTCTTGATCATTTAAAATTGAATGATTTGTAATAAATAAGATAGATTATTATAAAATTGCAAGAAACATTTTCTACATTATGTTTTATAGGTCTTAATTATTGTTTAAAATTTCATAATAGTTTTATTTGAAAAAGTTCAAATTTGTTTTTTTTTTTTTCAGGTCATGCTACGGGGCCCAATTTTTTAATAATTGCATTGGCTATAATTTGTTTAATAGCTTTAATGTTGCCAACAACTGGAGATGATATACTTTTTCATCCATATTTACAACTGAGCACAAATCAGAAATTAATTGCAGCTTATACTCTGGGTATGAATTGTTAAATATTTATTTTTTTGAAATCCTTGAAAAATATTTGATAATCGCATTACATTTTCATTTTAATAGGTCTTGTCACGATTGCCATATTTCGAACATGATGAGTTCCTAATTTGAGAGCGTGTATCCAAAATTTCCCCTGAATAATTTGCTGTATATTGCTACGCTATGATTCCTTGAATTTGATCAATACTTAAAATTGCTACAGAGAGAGAATTATTTAACAAAGTATTAGAAAAATTTTAAAAATGTATAAAGTATCTGAACTTTGTAATAGCAGATTCAAAGTGTGATTACTTATCTTATGAAATACAAAGTAATATATCCAAAATGTTTGATTTTATTAATATATAAGAACATGTATGTATATATGAATTATGCAGAGAAATAATAAGAGATAAGTTTATATTAAATGTTTATTGTTTCATATATATTTTTTTTAATTAGCAGTTTCATATTTTATATTTATAATTTTTAGTAATAAAACTTATATGACATTTTTCCATAATATATATTTGATTTTCTCCATTAATATTTCTCAAAATATCCAAAAGTTTGAAAACTGTCCACAGAATCTTGGAGTAAATTAAATTACTAAGAGATTTTGAAATTATAAAAGCACAATAGATAATTAGTTGACAATAAATTTTTGTGAACAAATATTAAAAATTCTGTTTATAGTAACTATAGGGTGTAACAAAACTACTACTACTACTACTACTACAGTTCAAGAATAAAGTTTGGACAGTTTACAAAGCCATTACGCTATAGCAGCCACTATAGCAAAAATCAGACAATTAACACTTGTTCAGACTCATTATTTCGGAAATGAAATTAATCTTTCGTTGAAAAATGGCTACTGAATATTAAAATGGAAGTAACAGATAAAGCATATAAATGCAAAACTCTGTTCAAAATGCTTTGCAAATTTTACATTGAAAATTTTGCAACCATCTACACATTTGTTAGATTTGAATTTTTCTCTTAAAGATGCATCTTGGGGAAATTGTCCTCCTGTTAGTGAAGACGATCTGAAAGCAATAGTCAAAGCAAATCCAAAACAATCATCATATGCTTGCAGAAAAGTTCAGAGTAAATTACGAAACAGTTCTATTTGCACAAAAGTCACAGACAGGCTATAATCTGCTTACATGTCTTTACTCACTGGTTGAAGAAACAAATTTTTTTTGCGTCAAATAACTTGTGATGAAAACTTGGATTTTGTACAAAAATGTAATTGTCCGCATTATCAATTATATGGAGGAGAACTAGCACCTAACACATCAAAGGAAAGTTCTTTTGTCTGGTGGACTCCGGCTGCTTCTTCAGTCAAAAAATAACATAGTAAACACCTGCATCTCCTAAACCTTCCAACACATACATCCAATAGTTTGCAAAGCGTTGTGTGTATGATTTCAAGAAAAATGAAAATAGAATTCATTTCTATGTACAGCCCCTCCAAGTATAAAAATGACCTTCAAAATAACCACACATTTTTGCACTGCTGTGGTGAAAACTGGGACAATAATGTGGTAATCAGGGTATTCAACAATTTTCAATTTCCCTGAGATTTTCAGGTTTTCCATGATAAAAACCTGCATTTTTCCCTGACTGACTGAAAACAACTCACTGCAGAAATTAACAAGTTTTCAGTTTATTTGATGTTACCAAATCGCAGGTGTAAGGCTGTTCAATTTCCCTTAGTTTTTCAAATTGCAGCTCAATAACCTATAACTTCCCACTGTTCATCTGTCTGACCTTCCTTAATCTCAAGAACGGAGTTAGATAGATCAAAGCCAAGACCAGATATGGAAAGCTTAGAGGCAGGAGACCCTGATTAACTATATACAAACTTCCAATGTAAACCAGAAGTCATGTTATTTCAATTCAAAAATTTTCTCCCAAAAGGAGTTAGATGACTGGCACAATTCTATTGTTAGCAGGAAAGTATGATGTACGGGAGCAAGATGCTACTAATTTGAGATAGAAAGCATATATATTAAATTAAAATATTCAGTAAAACTGCATTCATCATAAACTACAAAAAACCACCACTCATAGCTTTTAAATGCAGTACCATTTTAATTTTTCTGATGTTTTTGGTTGTTTGACACTTTAGAATCCCAACTTTTAGCTGCACATGTTGTACTTCTACTTAGATCACGTAGTATATTTTTTATTTACATTTTCCAACAATTAATACAAATGATAACTTGGAACTCAGTAATAGAAGTAAATTTTAAAATTTACAACTCTATTAAAATTTTTACATATTATTTATCGCAAAAAATATGAAAAAGGCATTCATTATAATTGAGAATATACAGTAGTATCTAAGCAAAAATTCCAAAAATTTGGCAGCTTTTAGCAGAGGGGAAAAAAACAAAATATCAACAAAGTGGCAATATATACAAAAATGGTGATTGCAATTTGCATGTTTTCAATACTTAATTTCTGAAATATGCGTTACTCCCAAAATATCATACATCTTAAGGCATAATTGTACAGATGATAACTCAAGCTGCTATCTATGAATCCCTCAAGATGGCACTTATGAAAGACTATTTATCTTTTTTTTCTGTTTTTAACCGTAATCTTTTTTTCATGAAACAATTTAGTCACATAATTCAAATTTTTGTTTTTTCTTGAAACGGAGGAGTAAAAATTAGTAATTATTATACTTAAGATTGTTATGCATGCTGGTTACAAATTTAAATCATCATACTTGTCATGTGAAACAACAAGTGCATTCAAATTGCTTCTGTTATTACCTTTTCCATTATACAAAGCATTCATTATACCCTCTACAATAATTTTTTCATTTTCCAGGTTTAATACCAAATTCCCTGACACTTCCCAGTTTCCAGGTTTGTTGGACATCCTGGTAATGCTTACGATTTCTTATCTGTGTAGCGATTTAAAATAAGAAACAATTTCCTGTAAACTACAGTTAATTTATGTACATAATTTGGTTTTTACCAATTTGGATAATTTTGTTAGTTGTAATGTTTCCACTGCAACTTTTGTAAAAGGTACTGGTACATAGTATTCATAAGATTTGTACAGTAGATCCCCCTATAAGATGGTAGATACGTTCCGTTCTTTATGAATCAATTTTGTAGGAATCATAGTTTACGGACTACGGCTGTTTGAAAGGTTTTCTTTCATAAAATTAATCGATTCTAGACTAATTCGACTCAACATTTCCAAAATACGTATATTTTTTTGAAAATAATCCGTATAAACTACGTTATAAACAAAAAATTGTAGGATTGCTTACCGAGTGTGTACCGTTCGACTACGCCCGTTGCTAAAGCTTGGTTTCGTCGCGGAACAGCGCATCAAACCGCGGCCGCGATTTCTGATATTATTTTTCTGCGAAAACTTCGTTGACCTTTGGAGACATCCTTAATATAAATAATTTTTATGGCCGTTAAATAAGAAATGTTTCTTTCACAAGAAATGTATAAAATTACAGTACTGGACAGACGATAGGTCGCCTAACTCGCCGTAGCGTGACGCTAGACGGCGAAAAATATATATTTAATTATAATAAAGTTACAATAAATTAAGTTAATATATAATTATATATACAGTACCTAATTTATATATAATTAATATATAATTATATGTACAGTACCTAATTTATATATAATTATATGAACAGACGATACTAAACTCAATTTATCCGCCTAAACGTCCGTAGCGTGGCGCTACGGACGGCGGGTAAGTAGTTCGGCTGCCCGATGACGTTTTACGTATTATAGGAGTTATTTTTACTGTTGTTTACGGATACTGCCACAATTTTTATAGGAATCATAACTATAGGAAACGGTTTTATAGGGGGATCTACTGTATAATGTAACTGCCATCAAATTAGATAACAATGCCGGAAAATATTCACGTTGAGCACCAATATTTCATCGTCTTAAAGTATTTATTTCAGAAGCTAATATCCATCATTTTTAATGCTATTCTACACTTTGATCCACAAAATTACATTGAATACTCAATTGAAGAAGAGTTTTGTTGTAGAAAAGTTGTAATATAAGTTGACTTTGTAGTGATTATATGCAATTTAAATTTTTGATGTAACAATATTAAAAATCTCATAATTTTAAGTCACTGAAACTATAAACTGAATTACAAACTTTCTGCCACTATTTAATCAAAAATTACCATAATTGGTTATAAACATGTTTAAGTAAATATAAAATATGGCCGACGGTATTACAGTATTACATTTAATTATTCTTAATTGTATAAACAAATATAAAATTGCAACGTTTAACGAAGATAAAATACTTTGCTTCCATTATTCATTTGTCATGTGCTCCACTTGACAGTGCTTGTGAAATTATGGACTGTCAACTGGAGCAAACGACGGATGAATAACAGAAGCAAAGTATTTTATCTTTGTTAAACGTTGCAATTTTATATTTGTTTATACAATTAAGTGTAAAATAATTAAATGGTTATAAACAGTATAAATAAACATAAGAAACAAGTCCTTACTTTCAAAGCAAATAGTGGTTCAAATCTAATTTATAAATGAATCCTAACTGAGGTTTATCTATAAATCATATATATCAGTTTAAGGGAGGAGGCTTCTTCAGTCAAAAAATAACATAGTAGACACCTGCATCTCCTAAACCTTCCAACACATACATCCAATAGTTTGCAAAGCATTGTGTGTATGATTTCAAGAAAAATGAAAATAGAATTCATTTCTATGNTAAATATATATATATACTGATTTGCAAGAAATTGGGTAATTTAATAATATATGATGTGTTAAGTGAAAGTGCTATTTTTAATACTATACCCTCTATCCAGCACTTGGACCAAACAGAAACACAAGGTGCTTTAAACAACTTGTGAAACATTAATGCCGACATTGGCAAATTGCAGACTGGCCAACTTATATTAAGGGTGTGATCGACTTTCATGAGTTAAAAGCACCAGTGATCGCCTTCACATCTGTTCTATAACCCACCCTAATAAAATTATACTGAGAAACCTTATTTATTGCATGGTAATTTAACATTATTTCTTTTTTGTAAATATTTAGTACATTTACCAAAACGGAAATAATTTGGAATGCATAAATTAAATTAAACTACACTTTTTTGCTAAGATGAAAAATAAGAATTTTATTTCCTTATTTGTATGACAAAGTTTGCACCTCTGGCTCACTCATTTTGCATTTGATTGAAATTGCTTAGAATACAACAAAACAATTTCTAAAATAACATAGAGCACTTCTAGGTTGTGTGTCGATGGTCGTTTCTTTGTATACACTGCATGTTATCTTGTGGAGTGTTACCACCCATAGCAAATAGTTAAGACACATTTTTCACTGACAAGGGAACTGTCGGAGTGTCTTCTAATAAATTTTAATAAAATTTAGTTA